TCCCGGCACACCCCAGGGGTCAGCAGCGAGACCCCTCGGCAACGACCAAAGGAATCGAGTGGGTCACAGAAAGCTGCCCGGGCAAGCGTTTGGGCCAAATCCTCAGGATCAGGTCTGAATCAGACTGGTCTGACTTGAACTCGGGACTAAGTTCAACTGGCAGTGCAAGGAAAGAGACCACGTGTCTCTCAACAGGCTGAGAAACAAAAGCATCTCATTAGGCAAACAGAAAGGCAAGAAGGTAGGCATTTAAACCTGACTTTGCCCTTTGGCCGGGGAAGCTTCCCATCTCGGACAAGAATCACACCGGCCCTCTCCAGCCACAGGAGGGAAGGAAGAGCGATTGAGACTCATCACTAGTCTAGGCTAGCAGCAGGAACCTTTTTGGCAAGAGATTTTATGGGGGGGGGAGCCTGGTGGCAGTTTCCATGTTTCATGTAGCCTGTGCTCCTCCTACCAGGACCTAATCCGGTTCCATTGCTACTATTTGCTGCTTAGAATCATAATTCATAGAATAAATGCGTTGGAAAGGCCATCGCGTCCAACCGCCTGCTCAAGGCAGGAATCTAAATCAAACCAGATCGGACAGAGGGTTGTCCCATTTTTTCTTGAACGCCTCCAGAGTTGCAGCGCTCACCACCTCTTGAGGTTATGAGTTCCACTGTCTTACTGCTCTAACAGTTAGGAAGTTTTCCCTGATATTCAGCCGAAATCTGACTTCCTGTCCCTAGAGCCCCTTATTATGTCTCCTGCACTCTGGGTTGATGGAGAACAGATCCTGCCCCTCCCCTTTATGACAGCCTTTCAAGTATTTGAAGAGTGCTACTCTTTCTATTAAAGACCCTGATGATGGGAAAGTGTGAAGGCAAGAGGAGAAGCGGACGACAGAGGACGAGATGGTTGGAAGCGACCAACACAAATTTGACCCAACTCCAGGAGGCAGTGGAAGACAGAAGGGCCTGGCGTGCTCTGGTCCATGGGGTCACAAAGAGTCGGACACAACTTAATGACTAAATAATAACAACCCTATCCCCCCTCAGTCTTCTTTTCTCAAAGCTAAATATGCCCAGTTCTTTCACTCTTTCCTCCTCCAAGGGCTTGATTTCCAGCCCCCTAATCCTCCTTGTTCCCCTCCTCTGAACCTGTTCCAGTTTGTCGACATCCTTCTTAAAGTGTGGTGTCCAGAAGTGTACACACAGTATTCCAGATGAGGCTTCACCAGTGCCCAATCGAGGGGGACTAGAACCTCACAGGGAGACTCTGCTTCTGTTAATGTATCCTAAAATTGTTTTTCTTTTTTGCAGCTACATTTGGTTGTGGAACATGCATGTTGGTCTCAGTGTTGTTCTACCGTTATTACTTCCTCTTCCTCTCCAATTCTCATCCCCGTTTTCTAGCTAAGGTTTCATTCTGATCACACATCTGTGCTGCTTGTTCAGGGTTTGCTCTTTTCCTCTCTTGTGTCTGTCAGTCTGTATACTACATGTCAATTTCACACATAGGAACGTGCACGATACTAACTGTGGATGCACGCACCAGGGGCTATCATACTGCAGAAAAGCAGTGTACATATTTTTGCATCTCCTTTCTTTGTTCATGTTAGAAGCATCACAGTAAAATTAAGATACATTTACAACAGTAGGCAACACTATGTGCGTTTAGAGCAGCTAGAATTAAGCAGAGACCTCGCCTTGCCAACAAAGGTCCGCATAGTCAAAGCTATGGTTTTCCCAGTAGTGATGTATGGAAGTGAGAGCTGGACCATAAAGAA